AGCAGCCGCTCTTTCGACGCGTATACTACCACGCACCGACTATACCCTTTCTCTCTCTCACTCTCTTACTCTCCTTCAGTTTCCACTCGCCCGTATCTCTCTACATTTACTCTTTCCACCTTTCTAACCTTTCTTTCTATCAGGCACACGCACACTCGTACGTACACGCTCTCACAGCACGCGGCACAACAGAATAAGGCTCTTTAGTTTGCCCACGGACAATGAAATCAAAGAAGAATCGAGCCGGTTTCGATGCGTACCACGCGGAACTGACGGCCACACGTAAATGCACGGACACCGTGGAGATGCTTCTTGATGGCGGCTCGAAATCTCAGTCCCGGACGACGCCTACACCACCACCACGTACCACCTTAATAGCTGTGCTTGCCCGGACTCACGGGACTCGACTGGGCTCCGCCAGGCCACGATATCCCCGCCGCACTTGCGCCAACCGGCTATTGCTCCTACCCTTCGCGAGGATGTACTAACCGTTCCTCGTTCTTACGCCCACCCCCAGCGCAGTTCTATTACCCGTGCAGACTAACTGAACCCCTGCGGAGCTCCCACGCCCGCGAAACAGCCAATGCCGAAGCCTCTCCACAGGACCGTCTAACAACTCTAACGACTCGACCAAGGGCGCCAACCCAGAAGATACATTTCACATTTTTTAATCAACGTTACGATTAAAAATTCATATAAAATGAACGTTCACTCGTCGTTAATCGTTGTTAAAGATGTCGATAGCGATACTAAATAAATACATCCTCATATGATAAAAATCGATTGTTAAAAGATGCTTTTTAATACTTCAAAACAAATCTAATATTTTTTACACATAATTCAACGGTATTAAAGCAAATCAATATATTCGCGTTTTCAAATTAAATTTTTCAACTAGTGACATCTTTGATTTAAAAAAAAAGAGTAAATTCGACTGCAGGGAGAATACGTCGGTAAAGCGAGGGCTCCGTTTCGCAAGAGTACGGTCCTAGCTCTCGCCCCGTAAGTCGTGTTGTGACTGGGTAAACGAACGAAATACTCTAATGGTCTACGTTCGTCTGTTTCCACTTGTCGTTTCTTCGAGCCCACGAAACGAACGACAGTTACATAATAATACTTTAACCATTGGATTCGTCTCGATTTCATGTTATCCAACAAGAGAAGAAAAGCCACAAAGACACGCGTATCACACGGGTCTCATAATGACCAGAATAAGAGGAGATGTAGAAAAGGAACGAGCGTATATGTAAATACGCATCTCTTCACTGGGACCCTTACGAGTGGAAGGCGCAACAGAGAGAAACAGATGATACTGTACCGTAAAGAAAGATAGACAACCAAGTCGCTGGTGAGTGTGGAAAGGGAACATTGTTGATCGTTTGACGAAGGTATTCGTGAGTACGAGATTCTCCTACGCGGGATTGACTGTTCAAATTTTTCTGCGTCCCTTTGAAGTTTACCGACTCGACGGCGGTTCGCTCGGCTAATATCCGTCCCGCGAACATCGGTCACGTCGCGTTAAGGGTCCACCTTAACGTTGATTTCTCTCATTGCGGGACATTGTTCGACCACTTGAACGGCGGCAATTAATTCTGACCGCTTGATCGTCAGAATGTCCCGTCTACAGAACGAACGTACGTATGTCTCGGCGTACTTGGGTGTCGTGTGAGTAGCTTAATTAATCATCGGACGATAGAATTCAACGATTTAACGTTAAGATAACGGTTAGGAATCGATCGAAATGGTAAGCGTCGTTGAAATATAAATAGAAAATTCGTTTTCGACGTTCGATTGAAATGGCTCGTGTAAATCAGGCGAATCAGTGGAACGAAAAGAATATCCAATTAAAATTATGCCCGATAGAATCGCGACTAAACGATAGACATCGTTTTCGTTATTTATGCGCATAGCCGGGTTTAATTCGATTTCGAGACCACCGTCGAACCGGAGATCAAAGTTCTGTCCCGTCGATTTCGAGCCATTCAATCGGCGGCAGAAAATATCAAGCCGTGCGAGCCGTAATTGAATCTGTAACAGCAACCGAATCAGCGCGACGGCCAATCATTACATTATACGAGTCACTCGCCGATCGGCATTCGTTAGCCAATCGTTCGTGTAATTGTTGGGTTACAGTTCCACGGTTAAGCTGCAGCTTTGTAGTTGAAGTGTCGGATAAACGTGTAGCGTTAGCGGCGCGAGGCGCAATGACACGACGAATGAAAGAAATACGATCATTGCTGGTCAGATAGCTGGAAACAAAACAGGCTAGTCCAGTAAAATCGTGCAAAATGTTTTCTGCTTCGATTCACAGACAAGCATGCCTTAACCTGTTCACCGGCAAGATGAGTCAACTCGAAAGCACGCGGAATCGAGGAAAAAACGTTTTTTACTCACTTTACAAGGTTAACTTTTCCAAAGTAAATTTTTATACAACTTAAAACGTGATTGAAAAATGGCTAATAAATAACTTTAAAATAATTGAGAAGTAAATATGTAGAAAATAAAGTTACATTTCTTTTCAAATGTTAAACATACTGTCCTTTGTTCTTTATCAATCCTCCCGTCTGAAATTCTAATGACCTCGTTACTGTCTACTCTCAAGTCGACTATCTTCGAGACCGATATTCTTACTTTCGTTCAATGCAAAGTACGCGGTGCCGCGACGCGTCGTCAATTTAGAAATTAAAATGAGACGTGCCTGTATGAAGAGAGGCAAGAATTTACGTCTTCATTTCACAGGGGAAGCGTAAAATTCCCGCGCCCTGCCACTCTTCCGCGATCTAGTTAAGATACCTCGATGCATACGAACCAAGAGGAAGGAATACCGAAGCGAAAAATGCACGACGACGACGACGACGACAACGACGACAAGTAATGATACATCTAGTACCGTAGACACGCGAAGATTACGTAGATTAGAGTCGTCCCACAGGTTAGGAGAGAGCGGCGGGAATGTAAAGTTGTTGCTTTGTTACCACGGTAAACAGTAGGAAAGCGGTGGAAATTAGTCGTTCGGCTAGGGCCAGTGCCAAAAGTGGCACCGCGATAATTAGGTTTCACTTGGTTCGCTTTAATAATCCAGAGACAACATGCAAAGTGCATTGCCTGGATCCTAGGCATCCGTGAAAAGCGTCGTGGGCCGTCGAGAGGAGGTGGGCGGTATGGTGTGTGCGCGACCAACGTGAACGTTGCCGCGCGCGCGGCTTGGACGCGGTGGGTGACAAATTTTGCAAGGACAGCCGGAATTATTAATGCCTTTTCGCATAGAGAGACCGAGACGAGGCGCGAAATTAGCAAGCCCCGAAAGCGGTACACGCTGCGCTACAAGCGAATTCCAATCGAGATAATGAAAATTAACGACGTTAAAGCGACGTCACGCTCGTAATTAATTATCGTGGCCCGTTTGCTCGTTGTCGATCGTCTCTCTTGCCGCTCACCGGACCCTACTCTTCTCCCGCGGGGAGTCACAGTCCCCTATAATCGCGATATCAATCCTTCATTAATTCCTCACCGAAGGACGCAACCGCCTCCTCCGCCCGCCGTCCAAACTCTTCTACGCGACGCTGCGATTAATTCCTCAAGACGCGCCCTATATATCTATATATGCACGAACCGGTGGCTCTATGAATTATACATCACGTCGCCGGCACCCTCGCCGCGAACTTTCTTGCTGCGGATGATCGTTCTTGCACTCGGCAACCAGAGATAAGACAAATAAACTACTCTCTTAATAAACGCTGCCATCGACGAAACCTACCGTTTATGAATACACACACGCGCGCGCGCGCGCGCACACACACACACACACACGTACTAGAACCTTTGAGGAAAAAGGCGTACACTTTCCCAAAAACGGTATTCGATCGATTCTACGTTAAGATTCCAATGGTTGATTTAACAGCAACAAGCCGCGTACGTAATTGCACCCGTTTTCTGCTACCGTCTTTCTCAACTAATCGAGGCTCGTATATCAAACCGCATTTGGCTAGACCGCGGTGTTTCACGACGAGTGTAACGAACCTTTCTTATCTCATTTACTCTTCGCCGGATTTTCCTATCTCTCGTTTTTTTTCGATTTTTTTCTTTTTTCTGCCAACCCATCGCACCACGTTTCAATTCTACACTCCGACAATGTGAAATCGCATCCTCCGCATCCCACGCGTCGCGTCACGGACCCGATTTATATTAGAATGCATCACACGGTTCCGATGCGTGGACGTTTGTCTATGGAAATTGCACCCAAATATTTCAGCCGGGAGTATTCCCTTTTCCAACCCGTATTTACCTTTGCCGTGTACAATTTTTTATTTCAATCTGTATAATTTCCCTTTAACCCCTTAACGCTCGTATCTTTTCTCAACTTGATGTGCCGGAAATGATCAATTTTAAGGTTATTTTTCTTTTTTTTTCAATTATCTCCCAGGCGTACAGAAACAAGTTTCTCGTTTATTTGTAATACCGTGACATACATTTTTGCGACGGAACAGAAAGGACAGTACGATATGAAAAGCGAAAGAAAATAATGAAACAAAATTGCACTTTTTCGAGGATTAAGGGGTTAAAGTGTTTCTGATTTCGTAACGCCCGGTGTTATGTAATGCAAGTTTAGTTGTGCGCTCCTGTTGAATCGTACAAACAAAGCAGATAACTAGACTCGTTTTTCTACGTAGATTTGTCATTCGTGTAGACGTACGAGACTTTAATAGGATTAACGAGCGTAACAAATGCATTGATATCTAACGTAAAAAGGAAAATCACTTGAAAAAGGACGGCACAATCGCGAAAAGTTTGAGGTTGGTTAGTTTTGTTTGATTTTTTCGAAAACATAATATACTCTGCTCTGAGTTGTTTAATATACTTCGTTAGAATAAAAGATATTACTCCAATTCACTTTATAATGAAATTCCAATTGTACTTACAAGTAATATGTATTACACGAATATTATAAGTAAACATTTGGCGATTTGAAAGAAATGATAAATTTTATTTTAATTTTTTAAAAACCGTTTAAATTTATAAAACGCTTCTGTTGACATTAACACATCCATTATTAAGTATTGCGAATCTTTTGGATCAGGTTCAGCGCTTAGAACCGTTGCTTGGTTGTACAACCACGATGCTATTGCACTGCCTGTTTGTACCCTAATACGTTTTTTTAGTAAATCAGAGGCATCTATAATTTGTTCTTGCATTTTCGATCGTAACAAATCAATTCCTGTCAATTTAGCAGCAGAAACGAGATGTGTACCTTCTGGTAGAATATCTGTTTCAATGGTACCCTGTTCCACCATATCATACTTATTTGCAACATTAATTACCACTTTATTTTCATTTATCATACGCTGTATTGTTATTTGTACATGTTGAATTTGTGCTTTCAAGTCAGGATGACTTATATCAAACACATGAACTAAAATATCCTATAAAAAATTCAATATATTAGTTAACCACTTGTTAACTGTTAATACAGTTATCGGACATAAGATTTTACGTACAGCATTTAGAGCATCTTCTAAAGTTACTCTAAATGGCTCTATTAAAGTTTCTGGTACATCTTGAATAAATCCAATGGTATCGATGTATAATACTTTTACTTTATTTGGAAGATATCCTTGATGTACTGTTGTATCTAAAGTAGCAAATAGCTTGTCTTCAGGTTGCAGCGAATCATCTTCTGTTAATGCCTTTATTAAAGATGTTTTGCCAGCATTTGTATACCCAACAACAGCAATGCTTGGAAAACCAAAACTTAACCTTCGCTCTTTTATCATGTGCCTATGTTCTTTCAATTTCTTTAATGCATTGTTTAACTTTCTTTCTCTAGTGTGAAGTAAGGCCTTTGTTTTTTCATTACAGTGTATTCGTCCGATACGATAAGCAGATAAATCAGTTATTTTCTGTTTAATATATGGTATTTCTGCTAAAGCTACTTGCAACTTTGCTTCCGATGTCTTTGCATGTTCTCGAAAAATATGAATAACTATAGAATAACGATCGTAAATCGGCAATTGAAAAGCCTCTTGCAATTCAGCAATTTGTATAAATTTCAATAAATTTGTACTAACAAATATAGCTGTAACATTTGCACAATTCCTAATATCTGCCTTCAATGTCTCAAGAGATCCAGAACCAACAAGCTGCTTCTTTTGTAAAGAAAGTAATGGAACAATTTTTTTACCAACAACACTCCAATTTGGTAGTGTATTAATGAGTGCTATTGCTTCATCTAATTGTAACTGGGGTGAAGTATTTCTTTTCTTCTTAACACCCCATTTTATGTACGGTTGTATAAGAAATATTCTATTTCCACCAACAGCTGACCCCAAATAATCTCTGGATATTTGTGTGTATATATTCTTTTCTTCTTCACTTTCTTCATATTCTTCAAATACTACATTAGACTCATGATTACAACGACGAATAACATTTACTATTTCAAATTCTCTCTTTTTATTTATTATATATTGTGATTTATTTATAAGATAAGCAAATCTTTTCAGAAACTGCATAATTTAATAATGACACACTACTTCGTTCTTTAAATGTAAATTAAAATACAAACAATCTATAGGACAATTATTACCTATATGTTTTCATAACCTTAAATGTATTTTATGTATCGCTAATAATTTTAATTTAATTGCACAGTAAAATTGTACTACATTTATATAAATACTATTGCTTTGAAATATTTTATAAGCATAAAATATGATATATAGGAGTGTATGTTATATATAAAACCATTATTTTATGTACTACGTCACTTAACCTCACTTAATATGTAACGTTTGTATTCAGATGTTCAAAAATTAAAATGTAATATAACAATTATGTCATTTTACACTGATTAATATTTATTGTCAAAATAACAATAATAAATTTTTTTAAACTATAGTCGCGATTATACAAATTTGTTCTTGATATAAGACTTTTAATAAATATAATATTACAAAATAATTTTAATCGTTCTTGTAAAATATTTTTTAAACAATTACAATTACTTTATGTTGTACAATAACGTGCTTATCCACGCGGATTCAAATTCAAGAACCGACGTAAATTGAACAGATGTTCCTATCACATGACTACGTCATTATCATGAAATTGAGCAAGTGTCAAACTACAGAACTGCGATTTGTGACTTTCCAAAATTAAAAACAAATTTCTTCCGGTTCTGCTTGAAAATGGAACCGGGATTGTTGACAAAAGTTTTATCTGATTTTTTAACGATTGTCGATGGAGAGCTAAGTTTATGTAAAGGGGATCACTTTTTGGTAATACAAGTATATGTGTATATAAATATATTTATATAACCCTGTTGAAATTAATACAGAATTATATTATTCCTTCCATAAAATTAAAATAGGTATATAGTGTCATAGATAAACACTGGTGTTATGGAGAATCTCAAGGCAAAACAGGAAAATTTCCTTCGAGTCATTTACTTAAAGTAGAAATTCCACCATTGCATGATATAGATTCTTTATACATTTCAACTGCTGCCTTTCCAGGACAGCAGGATGGGGATTTGTCCTTTTCTCAAGGTTACTTGTTACAATATATGCATAATATGTACTTGAAAGTACAGAAATTATTTTAATATGTTTTATTGTAATAGGAGAAATTATTATTGGAGTACAAGATGTTGGATCTGGATGGTACTTAGGTCAAATAGACACTAGAAAGGGTATTTTTCCTTTAACTCATGTATGGCAACTTGACATTAAATTATTGAAGGTATATGTTATTTCTATAACTTATACATTTATTCCAATATCAAATAATTTATTCATGAGTGAAAATAATAAAAGCTGCATTATTTTAGAAAGCTGCAGAGAAGAAATATATCAGGAAAAAAGCTAAAATAAAAATTAGTTTAGAAGCTCAACTTGAAGGAGAACTTGATTTGATAGAAGGTCAAGTGGTTACTGTTACAGAAACTTTTTGTGATGGTTGGTGTTACGGAATAACAGAAAATGGCAAAGAGGGGACATTTCCAGAGGCATTTATATCTTATATAGATGATGATACAAATGAGTCAGATGTAGCATGTACAATAGACAATAATCCCACTTCTGTAACTAATAATGAAAGAACATATACAAACATTGAGGAAACACCTTCTACAAACTTATCTATTGAGGAACCTGCACCAAATTATTATGACTTATTTCCTGAATTAAAACCAGTTTCTTCTGGAACAGAAAACTCTGAAAATGCAAGCAACTTCAATATCTTAGATGTAAAACCATATGCTATAACTTTATATCCATTTAATGCTCAATTTCCAAATGAGCTTAGTTTTGAAGCAGGAGAAGTGGTACATCTCATTAAACATATAGATTCAGAATGGATGGAGGGTACAATAGATAATAAAAAGGGCATTTTTCCTATGTCTTATGTTAACATTATAGTAGATTGTAATGAAATTATTAATGAACAAAATTTGATTAATCAAGAGACACACAACGTGGAATATAATGAGTTATTGCCTGGTACTCAAGCAAGAGTGGAGTACACTTTCAAAGCTCAGATGGATGGGGATTTAAATATTTATGAAGGTAATACAGTTACAGTAATTAATATGGCAAATGCAGATTGGGTTAATGTTGAAGATCATTCTGGAAGAACTGGTTTATGTCCAAGGGGTTACATAAGTCCCTTGCCTACAGAGTTATCAGATTCTACTGAAAGTATTTTAAAAGATTTTATAATAATACCACATGAAGAATCAAGCTCTAGAAGAACAGAAGAACAAAAAACAAAAAGACTTTCAGAACCACATAGACCAGCACCACCAGTGCCAGCTCCAGGCAGAATACCATTACAAAAGAATACAACAGAAACTAACAAAATTTCGTGTAACGTTAATGCGCAAGTTGATATTGCTAGTAATAATAATTTGGAAAGTAAACAAAAAAGGGCAGATCAAAGACAGAACGTTATATCAGAATTAGTTATCACAGAAAAGGAATATGTACGCGACTTAAAATTAACATATGAGACATTCAATTTAGAAAATCCAAGTCAACTAGAATTTTTGGGAATAAATGTTACCACGCTATTTGGAAACCTTTATGATGTTATTCAAGTTGCAGAACAACTGTTAGATACAATACTAAAAGCAATGAAGGGATGTAATGAAGAATTACAAACTGTTGGACCTTGTTTTACACAAATGGCAGAAAAATTAAAAATCGTGTATGTAAAGTATTGCGCAAATCACGAGGCTGCGTTAATAATTACGTATTTCGTTATATTTCATTTCAGTATGAAGATAATGAAGAAATAATGAAAGTATTTAACAAAGGTGTTGAAAAATTACGATATCAAGCAAACTGTTTCGACATGAGTTCGATCCTTATAAAACCAGTACAAAGAATATTAAAATATCCTCTTATTTTATATGAATTAGTGAAGGTAAGTAGATGCAAAATGTTAATGTAATATTTCAATATATTAAGAAATATTTCTATGCATTAATGTTTATGTATATATTATCGGTGTATTATAAATTCCTTTGAAACCACATAGCTAGTTTTCAGTGTACCGACGACAATCACCCTGATAAATATGAAGTAGAGGAAGCATGGAACACCATGACTGCTGTAGCCAGTCATATTAACGAGTACAAACGTCGAAAAGATTTGGTGTCTAAGTATTTGGACAATGAAAGCACATTAATGAGGAAAATGGCTAAACTTAGTATGCATTCCGTAGCAAAAATGTCTACGAGATTAAGTACGCGATTAACCGCAAGTTTAGGACTAACAAATGTTGCTGTTGATCCAGAATTTTTGGAACTGGAGAAACAATTTAGATCTGTTGAAAAATGTATTTTACAATTAACGAAAGACGTTGAACAATGTCTTCTATATTTAAGCGAGGAAGCTAACTCTGGAAAAGTACTATCAGATTTATTGATTCGGTATTACCAAGAAACATCAGACATTGAAGTAGAGAAACTTAGAGACATAAGATCTACAATTCAGTTACAATTCATAGAAGAATTGAAAATGTGTTTGAAAAGTAGAGTCAGTACACCGTTACATGATTTAACAATGTTATTAGAAGGACCTGCAGTGTTAATAACAAAAAGACATCACAAATTACTTGATTATGATGCTGCTATTGCTAAAAGGGAAAAGTATAAAGAATCAAGATTTGTAATTATATTACTTCGAATCACTTTTTTGAAAGTACATAAGTATATAAACATTAAAATATTTTATTTTGTACAGGCACAAGATGAATTGACAACAACAAAAAGTAATTATGAAGCCTTAACAAATCAACTGTTAGAAGAATTGCCAATTCTGATTGATGCAGCAACAAAAGTGTTAGTAAACTGTATTAGTTCCCTAGCGCATGCTCGAAAATTGTTTTGCGGAAGAATTACCAAAAGATATTTAATTCTTTGCGAGGTATTTAAAACAAAGGAATAATCGATGTCTACAAGTACATTGTATATAAGAAATCAAAAATCAAATTGTATCCCAATAATATTTCCAGACTTCAACTCAACTCTCATCTCAAGATATTTTGGAGTCATTTCTGGTTAATCATAGTCTATTATGGAATCAAATAACACGTTTCGCATTCGCTGGTACAAATCCAAAGATAGAAGAAGCAGAATCCACGTGGCGGCCACAAAGTGAAAAAGAGAGAACGACATTAAGAAATAAATATTCCAGTGACAAATTATATGTTGTTACAGAAAATGTAGTAAGCACTACATTTTTGGATATGGGTGCAGCACATGGAACATTAGTTGCAGTAATTAAAAAACAAGATCCTATGGGTGATACATCCAGATGGTTTGTAGATAATGGAGTTGCTCAAGGATTTTTACCTTCTAAAAGTTTACAACTTCAACAAGTGCCACAATTTGATTTATCTAATAACGTCACTGCTACGCATAAATGTAATAGTAATACATCTATGCCTGATCTAATTTGCATGGACTCTCCAGAAAAAGAATGCAAACCCATATCCCAAGACCATTTTCAAGAATTACTGGATCTTAATATTAATGAAGAAGTAAAAAAAGAGACCCATTATTATGGGAATATTCAACAAATTCCAAGAGTTCAACAATACCAAAATTTAAGTTTTGATGTTAGTACTAAAGACTATACCAGAAAATAAATTTCCTTTTTTAATTAAAGCTTATATGTAAACTATACTGCTTTCCAGTTTTACTATGCAGTGTATGAGTTTTCTGCAAATATACCTGGAACATTGCCTGCTGTTAAAGGTCAAGCATTAAGGCTTGTTAGACCTCATGATGAAAAGGGAAATGAAGAATGGTGGCTTATGGAGGATCGTTATGGTAATAAAGGTTACATACCTCAAAACTATTTAAGTAAACGACCTACAGGAAAACAGTAATCTTACAAATATAATATCTATTTATATGTTACGCTATTCAATTGGCGATCGCAATGTTTTAAATCATATATTTTTTTATTGTTAAAAATGTAATTATTTAACTTTCCGGCAGCCGAGCCTGGGTCTATTTTGACCCACGTTCTCAAGAGCCTCATCGAATTCCTCGACTCATGATATTTGGTTTAAACCAGCAATTGTTTATGTTAGATCTGACAAGATAATCCGTATGCCTCGAAATGTTTTATATGGATCGAAAATGATAATATAGACCCAGTCATGGTCGCCGTTCGGCCGCTAGAAGCGTCGACTGTCTGAGGGTTAACGAATAATTGTTTTAAATATTTAAATATTAGTTAAAATTATTTTTAGTTAGATGTTAATATATTTTAAACATATTTTAATTTCACAAAAAAAGTATTACAATATTACTTGCTTATCGTACTTATGCTTATACGCTTTACGCTTAAATGTACTTCCTTGTTATTTATTATTTGTATGCAAATATGTGAAACGTTAATTATGCGATGTGAATTATAATTTTCTTTACAAAGATAATACATTGCTTCTGTGATAATATGAATACACGTCATTTTAAACATTCCTAAAATTTTTACTAATTAAACGTATACACGTCGATATATTCTTATAGATATATTATATACATTTGAGGTCTGTTATACAGATGTTTTCATTACCTTTATAAAACTACAATACAATTTTAACGACAGTTTTGCATTTTGTTGAAACATAAATATATACATACATATATATATGTATACATATATTTAATGCTATGTGTTATCTTTACTGCTTTATATTTAACAAATTATAAAAACGTCAATAAAGCTATCGAACCAATACTAGATGATCTAAATTATTTTACTACGAACGAAACAATGATTAACAATAATACACAACATTACGTATAAATGTGTATTACGATTCCCATAATAATAATTTTAAAAAGTACATATAAAAAATACTGAATCAAACTTCATATCGACATCGACGTATCAATGTAAATATGTAATACGTAAAACTAAAGCTTAAGTATTTACCGTAACAGTACTCATTTTCGTAAATGATTGTCTCAAATCGTTGACGTCGTAGATTCTAGATTTTGACATGTTCAATTATTCTTCAACCAAACACCTACTTCGAAATGACACTGCTGTTCCCACATTTACAATTATATATTTTATTCAAAGAAACACACTGTTCACAATTACTAGACATGTTACTACCACGCTACAATGTTATATGAATATTTTCAAAACTCTCAATTGATTTCAAACTGTCCCACAGAATGGTTACCGACACAACTAAAGTTGCAGCACTACCTTCATACCAAAGTTCAATTTTTCCACAAAAAACAGAATCGATGAAAATAAAATCATCGGTACCATCGTCGATTCATATTACTTGAATTCGACTTGAAATTGGCACATTCATTTCGTATTTTTCAAAACACAACTAGAAAGGGAAATAAATTAAATAAATTAGTGATGAATTATTTTGCCGCGCTTTCCAAGCTGGTAGCATTGACTTTCCATATCGATTATCGATCAGCGATTATTACAATCAATCAAGAGTACATTTGTGAACTGGAATTAGACTAAAGATCGTTTCAGTCTTTTCGTGAAAACATGATTTTTTCGAACATTATTAACGAGCGTCATCAGTTTTAGTGAACACTGTAAATTAAACTTTTTCGTCTACACCTATAAAAATATTTCGCGCTAAAATCGATTCTACTTTACCGACATAGGGAGCTTCAGACAAAATTCGTAGAAATAATTACGATTGCTTTGTGTCATCTGCGACACAATAATCACCAACAAATCACTGATATCACTGGGAAACACTGGAAATAGAAAATAACACGAAATGAACGAAAACAATTGGAGGAATTTCATTTTTCACAAAATGAACTTCATACACGAGAACAAATAAAATACTGATGCAAGTGGTCACGTAAACGATGAGCGTCACATCAGAAACTATATATAAATTACTGACATCGATTCATCCTATTAGTCACCTAAACAATGAACTTCGTTTCAAGAATTTATTTTTCACTAGAAATTTCACTATTTTGCTTCGTATATGTGTAAGTAATAATCGCATATTGATATGTATATAACGTTAATTTCCTGCACGAATTGGAACTAATCTCGTGCAGCGGTCACGGTGACCTAAATGACAATTTATCACAATCAAGGACAATGAGTTAACTGGGAAAATGGAAGTTAACAGCAGTTTAAAAATCATAGTGAAGTTTAATTAGCATATGATGGTAAAGTACCGATAAATCAGCGAGTCTCTTATTGAACTCGGCATTTGCCTGTGAAATGGAACGTCTGCCCGATCACTTAACCGACTTTCGATCGATCAACAATCTTTTTATCAGTCTAACTTGTAAGTAACCATCGAATAAAAATGAATGAAAATAAAATTCATATGGACAAAATTAAGGATCTTGCTTGAAGGGTGTTTGAAGAAAGACAACAAACAGCATGGTTATTTCAATAAAAAAACATCTGCTGTATTATCATCATAATATAATACAATTACTGTCACGATCCACAGTCGATAATAGAAATAGAACGTTTGTGGTAACGTGTATCTACATTGCTAAATTATCGCCTAGGTTTAAGGTCCGAAATAAGGAAAAATGAAAAAAAAAAAAAGGGAAAGAAAGAAACAGTTACAGCTTAAATAAAGGAAAAATAAAACAGTCTTTCAAGGTACAGCAACTTAATGATAATTGCGATGTGAGATGCGATTAATATCTTTTTTATGTACGCAAAGAACGATCGGTCAACTTAAATACTAATTTATTCTACCTGAGAAAGGAATATTTATACTTAAGGATAATTATACAAAAATTGTCCTCGAAACGCACGATAATACACACAATTCGGGAGTATATAATTCTCACGCCTCGATTATATTGACAGTCATACATATATTATAAATATTACGTTACACGTGAAACACAAAAATTAACGTTTACCAGACCTACGGTTGAGTAATGGCAAAGCAATGGTTTTTTCCTTTTTTCCCACGTAAGTTACAGTTTTGTTCGTGAAACTGTCGGCAGATATGATATAGGTTAGTCGACGCTCCTCGATTATTCGAGAGAAGTTTATGCGATCCTTCCCCCCTTCTCAAAATAACTTTTTCACAAATATCGTTTAAGTACGTTCTAAATACGTGTTCCAAATATATTTCGAGTATAATCTACGTGACTTACGACCTAATTATAGTCTCGGCGTATAGTTTTGCCTCCTCTCTTTCCGATCGAATTTCCCGGCGAACAATTACAGGCCGGTACTTCATGTTAGAAACATTAAACTATAACGATCATTACAATTGAATTGACGTTAAATATTCAACGGTACCATTAATCATCTTCAGGTACATCGAACTTATACGTATGTACATCTGCGTACTCGTGTTTTACCACGTAAGGTTAAACCGATAACTCTTCGTTCGATGATCGGATAAATCACGTGTCGAAGGTATTCGGAAACGTTTGACGTGAAAAGAAAATTTGGAAAAATTGTGCTTCGTTATATATAAGTAGATTCATTGGTCGTATCTCGAGATTTCAATACAATCATTATCCGACCAAGGAACTCGAGCATAAAACGTTAACATCCTCGCTGAAAGGAAACGAACGATTTCAATATATTTCGATGTCGGATATAGAATATTTCATAGTTACCAGCTCTTAAGTGAAAGTAATACCACCGTGACAATAAGCGAGAGAAGCACGGAAAATTCCGTACTCCACCGCAACACGGTGTATCGAGTTCAACTTGTGAAACTTTCTCTACGATATATTCCCGAGGTTCACGTGACATCATCGTTTCCCGAATACCTCTCTTTGCTACTCTACAACGAAATCTCCTCATCCACGATTCTCATTCTCCTTCGAAACATTCTCGTAACCAGCAGACTAAATCTACTCTTATCGATAACGAACGATATCTATCAAATTCCTCCCGAACGATCGACGATCAGTTTTCGCATGACAATCCTCCAACGATCTCAACGTTCCTCTTTCTTCTTCGCGACGAGCGGTTTATATCACCGAAACTACCTCCAATACTACTCCTCTAATCTCTCTTTCTTTTTCATCGCAGAACGAGAAACATCGCGAGACCAGATCCTTCGCCTCGAGAAATCCGAATCGTCCGATATCCTGATGTGCACAGTCCATCCGACTCCACATTGGCTCTGCGACGTGTCTAATTAACCGAAGAATAATTCGGCCCTCAATCTGTTCGTCCAATCTCTTCTCGGTTGCTCTCGAGTTGTTCTATGGTGCCGATCCGTGCGGCACGCGATTCTCCATCTGTAAAATCCCCTTAATCCGCTGGGTAGAAGCGTAAAATCGCGCGGCCTTGGATCTCTGAGTGGCACAACTTGCGCACCACGTCGAGAACATCCTCCGCTGGATAAACGGTGTGCGGCGGAGGCTCGATCTCACCAGAAGAAACCAATTCGACCAGCTCGCGCAACTGCTCCAACGTACCCGGCTCCACAGGCTGGATACTCTGCTGCCATTCCTCCGCACGTCTGTTGAACTTAGGCTGAAGACGTTCGGCCACCTCTTTGATCACGAACACCACACCGCCCTTGCTCAAGCACTGCATGCTGCGATGAAGGCTACGAGAAGTGGTACCGAAATCGATAACAACGTCCACGTGGCCTTGACAAGCGTCCATGGTGCGCTCGATCAGCAGTTTCTCGAACAGATCCTCGTTCCATTGTACCACGTTCACGCTGTATCGGAAAAGGAGACTGTTGGTGAATAAATCGAATGGACGACTGGGTGGACGCAGATGCAATGGGAATTCATCTAGCTACTCTAATTTTCCTTGTACAGCGGGAGTAATCGAACGGGGAATTATCGACGGTTCGACGGTTAAATAACGAACAGTCTTACTCGAGAGAGACTTTTAAGAAGAAAGTTAGAAAGAGAACTGTGACGTAGAGTTTATGCACTTACACTGTGCTTTAAAAATAATCACAAAAGATACGTGTAAAAGGGTTAAACGAACTAATACGTAGAGGAAGGGGTGGTAATATGGCCTGCTCCTGATGTCATCTGCAGCACTTAGTAGCCATAAATAAAAGAAAACATGTTTAACCTAATAATAAGCATTAATAACACAACCTGCGAAACGAAAGTTTCCCGGCTTCCCGGAAGGGAAATATTTCTTGTTAGCTAAGGGAGTTGAAGTATTGTGTGTTGGTATTACATGTGAGAAAAGGTACGTAGAATCGATATACGTAAATAATTACCACTTAATTTTTGATAGAGTACGAGCTCTGAAACTCATCCTCTGATATTTTAGACATGGAGATTTCTCATCAAGCTTCTGATAATACCGATGCAACGTGCATATTTTGTGACCATGGATAAACGAGGCGAGATATGAATTATGGGCACATAGCGAATGCACATCGTGCGAAAAAGAAGAATACGTGTGCGACTTTTGTTTATAAATTTTAACGATTTACTTTTGATCTCTAATGCAACGAAAGAATTAGTTTTTATGATTTTTGTTAGGGGGCCGTATTACCCTCACCACCCCTTCCTCTATTCTTCTAAGTATCGGTTAACCAACGACGAGTTTCGATATATCAATGATCGTACTACACAAGGGTAATCTGCATAATAGTCTGCAGAGGGAGAGAAAGAATCGGTCAAGTTTAGGCACTGATTGGGCTGGTCTATTAACTCGGACATCTAGGTCAGATTCTTTGTCTCTCTCTAGGTCAGAACTAACTATACGTACACGATTACTACTGCTTCTAATTTGCGCTGGTTACGTGCACGAAATTGTACCATGCGAACGAAAAACACACGTGCAACGCGGAAGTGCATCGATAACGAGAAAGAAAAACCACGAGATTGCATACGAGTCGTGGAGCATTTTTTTTGCTTTATCAGATTAAGTAATATTAAAATGCCTGACGCATCGCTGAGATAAAAGGACGCGGAAAAGATTCGAGATACTAATACTAATTGTGGAAGAGATAAAACAGCAGAATAGTGTCAAGCAGGCTATTTTAAATAGCCTTATCGTTGACGCCTCGATGACTTCTGTGTTAGAGATAGAATAGATTCTTTCAGTTTTTCAATTCAAAGATCAACGACAAGCGTGACTCAAGCTTCGATGCGTGTTATATTGTACATCACAGTGATACACAGAAAGCTTCCTAACACGGAGTTGAGAGAAAATCAAATCTTTTTATCCCGAGAATATTCTGTCTTCCGTAGAACTCAGCTCCACCGCTCAACACCGAACGATATTTACAAGAAAAAGCCAACTCTACCGTCTACCATCTAACATCAACTTCGTTCCAGCCGAACGGCCGAAATAACTCACCGTTGAAACTCCTGCGCCATGGTCAGTCCGTCGTCCTTCAGCGAGGCGATAGTAATGGTAACTCGGTCTTTCATGTTATTAAAATGATAAGCTGCGATTCTGAGCGCCCAAAGTGCCAGACCGCCAGTTCCAACGATCAGAATCTTGCAGACACTCTTCTCCCCCCTCTGTTTCAGCAACCCTTGAACGTGTTCGTGTGCAGCGAACACTGTGTTCATAGCCAATAGTGCGCCAGCTGGTAGCATAGCGGCAACGCTCAAGCTTACGTTGTCCGGGATCTTGATCAGATACTTGAGATCGTGCACGACCAAGTATTCGACGTATCCGTTCGGTATGCCTTCGTAAGGATAAAGGATCACTCGATCCCCGACTTTGTAGCCACAATCCTCGGACAAGTTTGCTCCAAGAGACTCGAGTACGCCTGCAACCTCGTATCCGGGGAACAGAGCTGCGTTGCGAACCCCGTGATGAGGTAAGGCGACAGGGTAATCACCCTCCAAAGAGACGTCTGTAGTCAAGCTACTACCACTCGAGACAGAAGTCAAACTCGACAAGCTTGGAGAGCGACGAGGATGGTAGCAGGCACCGGCACACATCACCCGGATACGAGCTCCGTGTTCTGGGACATCCGGAACAGGAACGTCGAAACTGAACACCCATTCACGGCCCGTTACGCTCGGGCTCTCGATCGACACCTGCTTGCACAACTTGTTCATTTTCTTCTCCCTGGAACAGCCGAAAGAGTTTTCGTTCAACGTACATTTCGCCGAATTTTTCGATCAATTTTCCAACTCTTGCGAATGTTAGATCGTGTAGTAGGGCAAATGTCGAATTTCGAATTAGTTGGAAATTGATCGCTTCGGTAAGATTAGCCGTGTATTGAAAAGTTTTAGAAACTTCAAGTTTCCGGCGCAACTAGGGAATTATACGTTTCGTGAAAAGTATCTATACGCGTCAGCTATTGTTTCCCATAAACGAGTTCGCGAAGATACGTCGTATACCAAGATAATCAGACTAAATGAACACTCGGTCATACTCAGTTCAAATAACTCAACGCAAATTCACCGCTAAAAATTCAGACACGTACCCGTTGCAAGGTGAACACGGCTGGCGCGTGTTAATCGGTGCCACTGACTCCAATTCTACAGGCATTTCGTACAACTTTTCCTCCCACACAATTTTCAATTATCAACAGTTTCTCCTCTAAACCTTTCCTTCGAGAAATCAAAATCTCTCTCTCTCTTGCAATCAACACCAAAATGCAACGTTCGGATCTAACAACTGTTCAACAGTGATACACAATTGTATTCGAAGTCTCGAATTAACTGAGTAAACCAACAAAGTGAAATTATAAAAAAAGAGAATAAATTCTGGTACAACGCACGACGACTCTTGCTGACCGCGTGAAACGCACTAAGCGAACGCGCTGACGCTCCTTCACTTTTATACCGTCACGGGCTTTCTCGTTCGAGCTGCGTTAGTCATGGCAGGCAGGAAAGAGGCCATGGTAGGGGCTAGAAGAAACGGAACGTGAGCAAGTACGAGCATTCACGCACCACGTGCAACCTCTGTTTTTCTCATGTAGCGACGTCCAGTGCGTCGTGATAGACGCATGAATGAGGCGCGGATGGCACGTGTTTTTTTTTTATTTCGACTCTCGGGAGATGTGGACTCTTGAAAAGCGTATTTCGGGAACCTCCTCCACTCGCGACGTGGAGTTTTATCTCGAGCAACGCGTCGAGATATGTATTACCTGGAACGGTGAAAGAGTGCAAAGAGAATTCGCGTTTTATTGACAAGTTGTGCATTGTTTTCGGGATATCTCGAGCGTGATTTGCTTATCAGATTTCGGTAAAAAGGTGATGATAAACGAGAAGCTACGTTTGAACTGATTGGTTTATTTTGAAAATTCGAATGCAAATGTAAACATGGTTTATAGTACAATGGGTTCTTATTCGAAGGTATGCAGATAAATGCTATTTTATAGTATGTTTTGCAGAAGTGCGTTCGTTTTATTTAGGAGACAGTTTAGGGGATGAAAGAAAGATGTTTTTGTATTTTTTTAAAACAGTTTGAGAAACTTAAGCGCGTGATGTCGTGTATTATTCATCATCGTACAGATATAACACGTTGATCTTTGTTTAAAGATTATGGTCGCAAGAAAACATCTCGCTTTTTGTATCGTGAATAGATAATAGAAGTAGATACGTGCGATATCAATTACAACAGGAATGCAAGGTGTTATGAGACAATACAGCTAGTCATACGCGTTATCACTTCGTTTTTTCCCATCTATAGAAATTACGCTAAATATAGCTGATATTTATTGAAACCATCGTTTTATCGATCAGATGACACTTTATTCTTGAAACGTTGCTTCGCTGAACAAGTGATCAATGCACCATGAAACGTGGTTATTTATACATCCTTGCATCTTTTTCGAATGTCACGCTGTGATCAAATTATTAAAGGGTTGTCTCGAATGACTTAACTACTATTTTCGAAGCTTTTATCTTTAAAAAAAAAAAAAACACCACCAAAAATAAAGGGTTTTTTTTTATCGTAATTCTATTTTTTTTATGAAAATTCTATTTTCTTTTTTATAATTTTCAATATTCAAATCCAACCTCCGAATACCAGATGTCACTTTTCACATTCGTCACGTCGAATACGACGAAAATTCTATTCTTTCTATAAATTTCAATATTCCAATTCAGTCTCTGAATAGCACAGATGCCGGTTGGTTTCGAGCTGCATAAAAAATGATAAAGATGATCAAGTAATAATTTTATGTGTCATACGGCACGTAGGCATGCCCAGATATAGTTGCACTTACGAAGTTTCTCGCTGCTTTGTTTTCATGTGAATAGCGCGTATTTGCACGTCGTCGTGTTTACTACTGGCCAAGCGGTGACGTCACAGTTATCAATTCATACATGACCCTTCGACGTTCGGCGTTCTTTTATCATAAGCAGTAATAAGACTGCGAACAAATTAGCATTGAATAATTCTGATAAGATTCACGTTGACGCATTCGTGTTATTGTAATCTCGCATGGAGAGGGTGAATTGCTCAAGATAGAACAACGGAGAAACTCTTACGCGGTTCGAATTGCGCGCACACTTATTACCGATATATCGATACAATCGAGATAACGATCGATTCACAAATATTTATAACAAAACTGAACTGCACAGCATGTATCGTACACGTGAAATAGAAAGAAAAACATGTTTACACTTAGCAGAGAATAGTATTACTTAAAAAGGAAGAATCTTTCAATGAGGAACAGTAAATAGAACACTCGATTGTAACTTGATTGTACAGGTAGCTATCGACCCTGGCACTAAACTACAAAGTTACATTTTAATAGGCAGTCAATTATTCTCGAGAAATTACCAAAATGTAGGTTAAGCATTGGTTAAGAAAAAGTGCTACTCAAAGTTTCTCAATACCCGATAACGGTTAAAAACACTTTGAACCTCTATTATCGGTAATTCACTTTTCCTATTTCGATAAATAGACCGTCGTCCACGTGGTTTATTATTATAGAAAAACGTGATCTATAAAAAGCAAGAATTTTCCGTGTACATACGCGATTAACCTGTCAATTGAGTCAAACAGACTTGTCAAACAGAAATTGAATCTCTCTAATTTAGAATGAAAAATGAATACAAATTATACCTAACCTATTTCATATTTCTGGCAAGTGTGAATACGATGTATTTTATTTTCTAACACAGGCAAAACTGTACAATTAAAAATAAACAATCTTTTGACAAATAAACTATTGTGTTCTAATGTATTGATGAACCAATGACGAGTTAACTCGTCTTCCACAGTTAATAGGTTAACCTAACCTAACCTAACCCAAAAACTAATCGCTAGTAAAAAGAAGAAAAAAACAAAAATAGAAACGTGAAGGATAAATGCAACGAGACTTTTTAATTGCAATAATAGCAAGAATAACGTCTCGATACGAGCAACACGATCGTAAACACGGTAGCAAAGATAAGGAAACTCGAGATTCTGTTTAATCACGAATCGTAACAATCTCGTAGTCACGAAAGGGTTAATTAAAGAGGTTAATTAGAAGGAATTTGCTAAGCCGATGTAGTGCAACTTCCATCGACCTATTGTTCGTCGTTAAACAATCCTATTCGATGATAATTTTAGACTATACCTCCATTTCCTTCATTTACTTAACTAATTCAATTTATTATCATTCATCCGCCGCTTTACACTCACAAGTAGCCGACTGGCGTCGTTATTACTGCGCCAACGAAATATGCAGTCATTTGAAACACGCGGAAACAGGCCATGACAGTTTGTCTAGATCCCGGAAACGATCGCTTTCGAACATCACTGAAAATAACTTGAAACGAGACTAGTACACGATGTCGCAGGTGCTTAGGAATTATTTTAAGCATAGCCTGGAATCGTCCTTGAGTGGTTCACGTAATGCACCAAGCTCCATGTTCTTTCCACGTTTTTCATTAATTAAATAGAAAGAAAATCGAGACTTTAATTTCGCGACTTCAATACGAATTATTTTCATCGTTTATATACATATAATCTTCTTCTTTTTACTCTGAACTGTTTACTTCTATTTTTCTTGGAAAATATTAGTGACTAACTTCGTTAAATTAAATTTATCAAATTTTTTTATTTATCAAGAATTAAGCACCAAAGCATGTGCTTTGATATTAAAATTGGAAGAATTTGAAAAATCATTTCGAATGGCTCAGAGTGAGTTCGTATTAAGAAAATTAAGCGCAGTATAGCTGATTTTTTTCTGGTGGAAATAAGAAACAACGGCAAGAAGGAAAAAAAAAAACAATTAACTGTTGCATTACGATACCGGTCTTGCTTTCAAGGAAGAGCAAAGTACTTTATGCAACTTGTGTCGCGTTTGTTATTCCCAAGAAAGAAAAACCCACCGTTACTCGTGTCTCGTATGATATTTCAATTATTCATCGATCGCGTTTATTGATCTTAATTGAAATAAACTACAACCTCTCATTGTTTCTAATTATTTTCCACGAAAACTCTAGTTATTGCTGATCGGCTCTACTACAAACAGTAGCTTCTTCCTCTTCTCCTTTGAGCGTCAGTTACGCAACACGTCGTTTACAAACAGTTTGTCTAGCAATTATCTTATGTAATGAAATAGTTCAACGATTCAAGTATCTGATAGTAGAGCGTATCTCGCTAATATGACCGTTTCGTAAATAACCAGAACCAGGACGATAAGCTTTTGCATTAGTCAGCTGAGTCAACTTTTAGCTAAGTTCCAAGTGTGACTGTTTTACTAAGATTCCGATTAACACCACTCCTTGGACTAATATTTAACATCCGTTAGGCGAACACTCGTTCTGCAATTGATTTCGTTCATTGATTAACATATCTCTTTAACGATTAATTATCTGTATCTTTAAAATGATCGCTAGATGATCTTTTTTCTACTTAACGATTACCCTTCGTATATCTTATTTGTCACATTTCTTCATCAATCTTTTATATGCATCAATCTTTTTAAAAGTTAAACGATCATTATCGATCGTATCGTGTGAAGATTCACCGATAAATTTGAAAACATCCAACCATCTGGAATCAAAGTCCATCATTAACGAAAGGGGATTAAAATTTCAAAATAAATACGTTTTTAATTCCTTTTACGAAGACCTCTTGTTGATGTTCAGAGATACTTTATCGATACTCGAGATAAATTTGACGAATGGTGGTGCAGTTTGATATCGAAATAATTTCGATGAAAATTTCGATGAAAAATCTATCTTTCACCGTTAGAATCGACGATACTAAGATTGTTCGTAGAACAAGAATTACGAGGTATCTTGTGTAATAATTGCTGGAGCTTTTACCGTATGCTGCATCATTTTATCCAACCTTGTTTCCATTATATGACCAATTCAACGGAAAATATTGATTACCATGGTCGAATGAATCTATGAACTCATGGAGTCTCGTTTCAACTGGCGAGATACTCTTGCAAGCCAATGCCCTGCAATACAGGACATCCTTTACGATCAAAAAACGAGCAAACGTGAACAGCAATCATGAAAAATGAAATAATAAAAAATATTTGTACAATGTTAAAAATTGTAATTTGACGGTAATGATAAAACGTGAGTTAATTTATTTAAAGTAAGCTGAAATGATATTAAAATTACAGAATTTTTTTTTGTAAAACATATTGCAAAAACGACTATTCACGATAAAAATACGTACATATGTATGTATTCGCTTAATATCTGTATGCAGTGAACAAATGAAAGAGCAGCGTTTCCTCGACGCGTTTTCAAGAGACAAAGAGATTCTTGTGATGCGTCGAATGCTGCTCGGAAACAAAGAAACTGCACGGTATGTGATTTATCATT